GGGGGGGGGGGGGGGGAATATTTTTTTTTTAACCCCGTCAACTCACGGAAATTGACCCCACTTAAAAATGATTTTTTTTTTGTTTTTTTCGGTTCGAGGGCCAGGGGCCGCGGCTGCGCAGATGGACCCGGCGCGCCGACCACCGACCCTCCCGCCCGACTGGCCGCTAAGGTGGCTGCAGCCTCGGCCGCGCACGGCCGCCTCCGCGGGGGATTCATAGCTTCTTCTGAGAAAAACGAAAACAACACACCACATCCTGGTCTGCACAGGCCAGTCACTGAGTGCACAGTGATCACCTGGAGCTGTGAGTCGCGGATGTCCTGGAATATGAGACCACCTCCCATCCCATCCTCATGTCAATACTCCTAGCACACCCCCTATCCCACTATCCTACCTCAGTGTGACCAGCACTGAGGACCATTGCCCTACCAATGTGCAGGCAACGTCGACCAAACCGCAGTTACAGGCAGCAGGGCTGATAGGTTGCCCAGCCCTGGTGGAAGCGGAATCGGACGAGCCTTGTCGAACAGGAACTTCGGACGCCAGGCCCAGACAATCTGCTACAGGCCCCAAGAGACTCTGGACCCTAGGTTCAGACAGGATAGCACCAGTCCCACTGAAGCAGTCTTACCGTCCTTGCCCTAGCTTACCCAAGGCCAGGCGGAACTCGGACTGGCCTGAGCGACTTATGTCCCTACCCTTACCCCAGGGTCTAAGCCTTATATATAGCCACCAGACAGTTCTATTCGAATGTCAGTTGCAAGCACACCCAATGGCACCCTATCCAACCTACCTGAACCTACTACAGATACTTGACACCACCCAGCGACTAGACCCCCCCAGCCTGATATTTTAGTTGTACGTGTACACACAACTGGAAACTTGTGTATGTGTAGTGGCTGTGTATGCTATTTGAATCTATGTATCAAGATGTACAGACAGCATCATGCGTGGAAACTTGTGTATGTAGCCCGTAGGCGATGTGTAATTCACAAGCTATGTGTATGCCCGAAGGCTGTGTGTGCTCTGTAAAGCTCTGTATCGAGTAGTACGAGTACTCATTCCTGATGTTCCACCTAACATAGAGACTATGGGCCTCGCTCCACTACACGACACTCTACATGCGTTTGGCCTCTTTCTCGACCAGGTTCGTTGGGACAAGTTCAACATTTTGAATGTATCCAGTCCAGAAAGCGTCCAAATGCATTTAGAGTGTTGTGTAGTGCAGCAAGGCCCTATGACTCTAACCTTGGCATGCCTACTCTATCCGATCTACCCTACCTGCATTAAATATGAACCAGGTCCCACTAGCAAAGACGATTGGATTAAGTGCCTGAATCTGGACGTGTTTTGCCCAGAGATGCAGGCAAGCATATCCATTGCGAATTTCTGCACTTCTCCTCAAACATGTCCAGATTCAGGCGTGAAATCCATCCCTCTTTGCTAGTGGGACCTCCCCTTTTATAACGTAGAACTCCTACCTGACATCTACCGTCTTATCCCGAATAGCGCGCCCGGTTATTATAGCTCTATCTGGACTGAAAAGTGCACCACATGCGGCTATAATGACCGGGCGTTCTATTCTTCAATTGGGCTGAAGGCGGTAGCCAGTTGCGAGCCGGATGTAATTGTGTATTCCGTCTTCCTTACTCCACATACAGACCTGACTTTGCTAAAAATAGAACATGACTAGCTAACGGACACCCCTTCTGCAAAAAATGACTCTGCAGCATTGAGTCGCGATGACCCTGTCCTCTTCCTGAAGTCCCTCCATCCAATGAACTCACCGACGCGACCTGGAAACTACTCAAGTTCCAAAACTCTGCACCTGGTCCAGAAATCAACACCTTTGAGCATAATGAGGAAAGACACATAAAGGACACTTTTTCAGTCTTGTTACAACTCGGAAACCCAGCAGCGTAATCATTACATTACTGTGCCGCAAAAAGAAAAGGAATAATTGTGTACACGAAAAGCATATGACGGAAACAGACAGCCGCCCATATCAGAAGTGGAATTTGCTCGTCTTCTGTCTAACATTCCTTTCTTTCTTTTTCTGCTCTCTCTTTCCCAGCACTAATATCTATCAGTGGTACTGTATCACAAAAAACTTGCAAAAAGCAAAAAGAAAGAAAAAAAAAAAAAGTGTGTACTGCAGTAAAGATTCACCCTAACATGTGTTCAGCATACAGCTTGCTTTTTACATGCCCACTAGAAACCCGAGTTCTGGAGACACCTGCCTGAGCAGCATGATAACTCCTCTGGGGTGGGAGCGGGTCCACCCAGTGTGTTTCAATCCTCTGTCGCAGTCTGTCCCAGACCTGACTGAACGCAGTGCCAGCAGCAATGAGGAAATTGGCAGTAAAATGGCTGTCCAGCCTGAACGCACATGACCAGTTTCAAAGATCCATGATGAATGAATGAATGGGCTTCTCCGAGTTCTATGAGGAAGTCGTGCCTGGGATTACCGACTCCACGTCAGTGACGTCACGCAAAACCTATGGCAGGCCAATGCCAGGCCTTAAGACTCAGACCTGTCTCTTATACACATCTAGATGTGTATAAGAGACAGCACATGACCAGTTTCAAAGATCCATGATGAATGAATGAATGGGCTTCTCCGAGTTCTATGAGGAAGTCGTGCCTGGGATTACCGACTCCACGTCAGTGACGTCACGCAAAACCTATGGCAGGCCAATGCCAGGCCTTAAGACTCAGACTGGGTTGATTACAAGGTCACAGCAAGGTTTTGAACCTTTGCCAACTGTTCAAGCTCTGCATACCTCCTTTTGTAGTCCTCCTCCGACGCCAGTTTCTCATGCTTGCTCCACCAATCCCAAGCCTCGGTCAAATGCTTCTTCAGATCCGTGTCGCACTCGTTGGATGAATGTTGTTCTCGCAACGTCAGAATTAACTTCCGCAGCTTATACATTGATGTTTCCGCTGCCCATATCCTGGCGTCCTCTGCTTTCGCTTGCGGCATGTACCAATCCGTTGCCTCTGAGACGTTTGCGTAATACTGCACAAAGTCTGTGTCGAGTGTCACTGTGGTTTCCACTTTTGTCCCTATGTCCCCATGATTTGCAACCGCCTCTGCTGTCGCATGGAGAATCCCATTAGCGTCGATTTTGAGCTCGACCTCGATGGAGGTATCCAAGGTTGCAGGACAGGGAGTGAAACCGTCCAGCTTGAGCTCACCAATCGGCCGGTTATTTTTACAGAGAGCACGGTCACCTTCATACAACATCGTCTGAAAGGACTTCTGGAAGTCCATCAAAAAAAAATAAGCACTTCCAGCTGCTGGAAGGGAAGAGTTTCTGGGAATAACCATGCTCGTAATGCCACACTTTGCGCCTACACCGATACTTACCGATGTGACATCGCGGACGGATATGGATGCCTTTACGCAATTATCTTGTCTGGCCAGCAAGCCGGCCTGTACTGCAGCTCCAAATGCCACAGCCTCATCAGGATGGACGGACTTGATGGGCGTCTTTCCGAAGAAAGCTGTCCGCATCTCTTGCACCCTTGGGATTCTCGCCGAGCCACCTGCCAGAAGCACGTCGGAGATATCACTCTTGCTGATCTTCGCATCACGAAGAGCTTGTTCGACGATTGTCATGCACTTGTCGAACAGGTCTTGGTTCAGTGCCTCGAACTTGGTGCGGTTCAATCTCAGGCTGAGGACATTGTCACCACCACAATCAAGGTCGATCTCCGTCTCGGGTTTGATGGACAGATCATGCTTCGCATCCACGACGAGCTGATTAAGCTTTGTGCGAATCCTTGGCTTGACCAGAAAATCCTTCCTTTCAAGCTCGCTCCCAAACTGCTCCGCCACATGCTTAAACAGCCGTTTGTCTATCTCAGTACCCCCAAGATGAGTGTCTCCCGCGACTGCTTTCACCACAAAGCTGAAGTCGTTTTGAGGCCCCTCTTTCATGGTGACAATGGAGACGTCGAATGTTCCCCCACCCATGTCGAACACCAGGATGTTCTTCCCCACTGTCTCTGCACCCCTGCAGCTAAACACGCTCCCTCCATGTTGGTCCCAGCGTTTGTAATTCGGGCGATCACGCGTATCGTTTCCCAGTTCATCGTAGCCCCAGCATCTTTCCGTCAGGCTGCGTCTTCCCCCTCCACCATAGCTACTCCCAATCACCCGCTGATCCCCGTACACCACTCCTGCAATTTTCCTACTCCCTATCAACCGCTGATGCCCGTAAGCTAGAGCCGCGGTTGTAGGTTCGCTTATTAGTCGTAACACATTTAATTCTGCACTGACTCCGGCGGCCATAGTCGCCCTCCTCTGATGGTAGATGAAGTACGCAGGTACACTGATGACCGCATCCTTGATCGGACGGCGATCGGCGTAGTCCTCCGCAATGGACCTCATCTGCTTCAGCAAAGAGGCGGAAATATCTTCTGGTCTGTATTCCTTCTCACCGACATTAACAAGAACTCCACCGAGTGGACCGGATGACAACTTCAAAGGACACCTCTTTGAGGAATCGCGAAATGATTGCCCCATCAGCCTCTTGACCTCGAATATGCACTGCTCCGGATACTTCATGCCGTGTTTCTTAGCAGCATCCCCAACCAGACATCTGTCGTTTCCAGGGAATGCCACGTAGGATGGCGTTATCCTGGCCCCAAGTTCATTCGGAACAATCTCAATCTTGTTCATGTTGAACACTACAGCAACACAGCAGTAAGAAGTGCCWAGATCTATGCCAAGCACAGKATTTTTTTCCATGGCGTATCAGTTTCAAGCAAACAAGTCCGGGGCTCAGCCTGGGGAAAGGACTCCAATYGGTTGGCCTTGATGCGTCTGCTTCGAGTGTCCAAATCGTTTCCGTTCAATAGACTGTCAAACACAGATCCCAGCCACATAGGGCCAGTCCAGATCTCTCTCTCTCTCTCTCTCTCTCTCTCTCTCTCTCTCTCTCTCTCTCTCTCTCTCTCTCTCTCTCTCTCTCTCTCTCT